CGATGAAGCCGAAGCCGTTCATGAGCTTGATCTCGGTGATGTTTCCAGTACCATCCTTGAAGTGGTTCTGGATGTCTTCCTTTGTGACTGTGGTAGTGGTGGTCAGCGAGCCCTGTCAAAGGGGCTGAAAATGCCAGTAGGAGCGGGCCATTCCATCACGGATCCTTTTGAAGCCAGAGGTGAAGGCGCCAAACATTGAACAAGGCTGAGCGCAAGGAAAATCCGTCCAGAATTATGGGTCGACCTCGGGTACAGAGCGCGTAGAGGAAAGATGGGATCATAGGATTGGCTTGAGCATACCGTCACGAGGAAGATTGCCCAGGTAGAGGCGAGTGGAGGAGACCTCTGCAGACATCTTGGAGACTTGGTCCTCGAGTTGTGCGACAAGGTAGTGAGGCGCGCACGAGATCGAAGGTGAGAGAGCAGAAGACTAAGGCAGTCTCTGATAGATATCAAAGAAACAATTCGGGGCTAAAATGCTACTGACAAAATCGGACCTCGTGGGTGTGAACGGTGAAGGTGGTGCAAAACAAATAAAGGAAATGTGGTGGATGAGGTTTTCGAAACCTGCCAAGACTTCATTAGCGCCTACGGTCGGCCACAAAACCCAAAAACCAGGTACGTATCCAACACGCAGATATTGGACATTTCTTCACCATGCCTACCCCCACCTAGGGCGACGACTGCAGCAGGTTTACATCAGGACTTCCCTGTATGGTCAAAACATAAGAACTGCTTTTTCCCCAGAGCTCCACGCTCCGACCTCTTGTCTGGACCTTTTCGAGCACGATCAAGCTAGAGACACCAATGTGCAAGACAGCTACCAAATCACGAAACTCACACCGACAGTTACAACCTGACCAGAAGCACAATTTGTCTTCAGATTCCTGCATGGTATCGTTTACTGATATAATACAACTCATAGAGCGCCAGCTAGGCTATGTACACATTGAAGTGAAGATGGCGAGCGGATATAATTCCAGCACAGTGTTCTCCGTCAGATGCTAAAGGCAATCATACAGCTCCTCAAAACGCTCCAAAGAGGTCATCGAGATCCTCAATTTGTATGTCTTCCGCTTCTCTGGTATCCCACGTCAACCCAACTCCACTGTCTCCCAGTATGGACGTCGACTCTTTCATTTCCACGTCTTCTCCTCCTTGCTTGGGTTCTTTTCCGACCATGATTGGTTGTATCGCTTTCATTAAAGGGCTGCTCGTAATCATCAAACTAGAATCCGGGCTGTGATGTCCACCAAATAATGCTTCTGCAGCTTCTCGGTTCCTTTTCGCTTTCTCTTCCTCAGTCTCTTCCACAACCACTTCACTTGGATCTTCGGTTGATGGCCTGATTGTCGGGTCGTCCAAGCTCATGCCTCGCATACGCATACTGCTCGCCGTCTGGGTGAATTCCTTCTCGTCTCCTTCAAGTGGAGGGCTTGCAGCTTTGTGATTATGTGAGAGCGCAATGTCCGATGAAGAACCGTTTGATCCATCTCTTGCTAAGCTTGACCTTCCGGAAAATGATGACCCTGCAGGCGTCGGTGGTGTTGCGAAATCATCGACGCCTGGCACCGCTACATCAAGGTCCTCGGACAGATCGATCTCTGGACTGGGACTCATAGCATCACGATTCCGTTCCTCTGCAGCCTCGGTGTCTCCATCGATGCTTGCGCTACTGATGCTAGGAGATATTATGCGCCTTCCTCCTTTACCTCCAGAATGTGCCGAGATGATCACGTCCGAGAGGGCGGTGGGAAAGTCTTGGCGGGGGAGTGTGGTGAGGAAGTAGTAGACTTTGCGAGGATGGACGGTGGTCAGCTCTTTATCGAGTGGGCACGGCGACAGGGCACTCCATGGGCGCTTGAGGTATGCTGACAGTCGGGATGAGAGTAGGGCCGCCGGGTTCGCCGAGCTAAATGATGATAGTCAGCGCAAAAGTCGTGGATTTGATGGAAGATGAGGATGCCTTACCTGGACACAGCATCGCTTATACTCGACAGGACAGTTGCAAGCTCTTTGATCAAGTGTGGCCTATTCCCGGTCTTTTCTAGCTGCTCGATCACACCAACCACGATATCATCACTGATGCCCTCTGTGTCGACTTTGGTGTCTGTTGACGCCCGTGGTGACGGTGGTGGGGTGTGTTCGTACGCAACGCGGCCGCTACTCTTAGGCCGATCTGCAAACGACACAACCTTGGTGGAATGTGAGGTCGCCGATGATTTGGGTCTTGGTGGCGATGTGGGTGAAGGTGAATTTGAAGTATGCGACCTCTTGATTTTCTTCGTCGGTGGTTGTTGAGGTGTTTCCGTGGCAAGCGAGGCCTTGGAAATCGAAGGGCGGTGAGCTCGGGAGGCGTTGGGCAACTGTATGCCCAAGGATGGGAGAGACAAGGACTTTCGACGAGTGTTGTACGGCATTTTGATGATGTCCTTAGGGTTTCATGGATCAGAGTGAGATGTCGAAGTGTCGCGGGATTTTTCGGATTTTGTTTGCTGCAGTGGTGATGTAGCACGGTAAGCTTGTTGTGGTGGTTTGCAACGGGGTCAAGAATGCGAGTCAGACGGGTCGCGAGGATATCATTGGAGCATTGGACGGCAAGGAGGTGTGCACAGGAATGCAGCCTTGCAGGCGTGCAGATGCAGGAGGCGAGCGATCGGTCTTCTCCCCAAGCCTGGGCTGACGACCTATTTTTTTTGATTGATTCTCTTTGCTCTGACTGGTGTGGATGAAACGAGAAGGCAACAGCCAATGAAAGTTTAGGCGGCGTTGAAAAGGTTGACTCAAAGGAGCGTAGGCTTCGACCGGGTTTTCTTGACAGCAGGTTAAAAGAAAAAGAAGAAGATGATGATATGGCCTGTAGCGAGTACCAAGGGACACTCCTGCACCTAAGGTGGTTGAGAAGAGGATGTTTGTTGTATGGGGGGTTGAAAGGCAAACAAGGAAATTACGGGTGACAGAAAAAGGAGACAAGATCCAACCCTTTCCAACGGGAAGGGGAACGGCGGAAAAAAGGCCAGAGCGCCAGGAATTCGCAAAGATTAAAAACGTTGCGTTTTCCAATTTATCACTTTACTTTACTTTTTAGGTGGCCAAACTTTGAAGCGCTGACCCGGCAAATGAGTGTGGCTTTGCCCCAAAGGACCAGTGCGGAATAAAGGTATTGGCTTTTGATTGCTGGATGCTAGTTCCGAGAAGGGGAAAGCGTGATACTGAAGCGAATACCCAAGGTAAGGGAATCCTGCGGCGACGCGCTTCAGGGATGCCCAACCCTGGGACTCCGTGGCGAGACACAGTTCCCAGCCCGTTTCTTGAGCTACCTATGACATCGGTTTTGCTGTCATCATTGCCGTGTGTGTGCGAAAGTCGGTAGCAACTCACCAACTCCTTTCACTTTTCTCCATCGTCTTCCCTTCCTCCATCCGATCGGCTCGGAAAGCGCTCCAAGAAATAAAATAAATTAAAGGAAAGGGTATGAAAATGAAAGAGTAGAAAATCCTGTCCCGCTCTCTTCGCATCCACCCTTCTTCCAGAGTTAGGCCCTACGAACCGACTCTAGAGCTCGGTAAGAGGGCACGACAAACAACAACCAACAAAGGCACATCACATCTCACCATGAGAGGACCCTCTCCACGACGGCTCCCGCCCCCCCCCTCCCTCTCAACCCTGCATCCACGATAGGCCACACGCTTTCTAAGCTGGCCGGATAGCGGGGCAACAACCCATGCAACAAAAGGGATCCCGGATATCCAATCATATCAAGTACCTAAAGTACCTTAACAATCAGCAAAAGCTCAGCGCAGGTTAAAAGCGGCGATCCCTTCTCGAAGCTTTATCCTCCCCCTTGCCGCCCAAGTGGCTCTAGCTCCGAGAACCAGAAGACGAACCGTCTTTCCGGGATCGAAACCTTGTGGTGCGGAGGTACTTCCTTTTTTCTACAGTTACAGTACGAGTATTTTGGCTCTTCTTCTTCTGCTCCATGGACCCTTGGAAAGAAAGAAAAAAAAGAAAAAAATTAATTTCTTTTTCGAAGGGTCTTCGATCGAAAACTCTGGAGCCTCGATAGACGTTGCAGACGTCCGCACCGTGTCGAAAGCGGAGCGTACGTAGCGCAGCGTCACAGCGTCAGATGATAGATCCTGCGATGCCCTCCAATGAACCTTCTACAGTGTACGAGGCCACGATATCGCATCGAATGCGCTCATCGGAATACATAGATCCAGCGATGAGACCCGGCCGTGAGAGGAGGCAGACTCCCTTTCGGTTTCACTTACCCGACGGTGTGTCCTATCCCATCGTGTTGAAATGATATGGCGCCGGTCTCTGGGTTGGAATCATGTGTGAAGTACCGTAATTGATGGCAGGAAGGGAAGAGAGCCAAGAGTGGGCATTATTTGTTGTTGTTGTGCCAGCCATGTCTCTCCGTTGGGGAGGGGGGAAAGGGGGGGGTGGACTTTGAGCTTTAGGCCCCCATACAGTAGGTAATCTTGATAGCAGCCTCTTCCCACAAGGAGCAATGTCAATATTCAGTCAAACCTACTCTTTCAACATCAGTGGTGATTCCTTTCCAAAAGCTAGCTACAGTATTCAACAAACATCCCATCGTCATCTCCTATGACGATGACCGCGTGAGTCACTGCGGAATGGACAGAGTGCCTCGTTTGCTGCTCGATCGAGTAGGAAGAAGACCAGAATGGCAATGGCATGTGCGAGAGAGTTGAGGGGTCATCATTAATTACCCATTGCTGTGCTGTGCTGTTCTACAAATACGTTTTCCTCCACATGCTAGCTATGTATCGACTGTGCTAACAGAGCGAGTACAATAAGCTCGCGGATCATATCCAATATCTCGTGTGCTCCCATCAATGCCAAGAAGCCTCGGTAAGCTTTGTAACCACTCATATGATAGTCAACTTGTGCCAGCAACAGAATGCACACAGTTCACCTCCTATATCGCTTCACCGCCGCAACTCTTGCCTTCAGGCCCTTGATGAGCGATATCAAAATTCAAAGCTCTTCTCCATATCGATATCCTCACCTTGCCCCCCACCCATCCCTTCAATATCACACCCGGTTGGGAACAGACTCCCCACCCCACCCTCCGCTCTCAGGAACCCAAATTGATCCAACTCGTTCCGTGCAGTCAGATCCCCATAGTTCTGCCACAGCTCGAAAGGACCCGCCCCATCGTAAAGACCATGGGCCGGAAAGGCGCTTAAGTTGTTGTCGTAGTTGGCCAACGGCGGCTGCTGGTGTCCAGGATGAGTCGGCGCTGCTTCCTCCTCCGAAGACGTCATCATATCTGATGTGTCTCCGCCAACTCTCTGCGCCGCGAGCCGTAGCAGCTTACGCATATTGGAAGAGGTGCGACGCGCTTCGGGACTGGAGTTACCAATATGATCAAGCCAATTGACGGCGGCTTTGGCCTCCGCGAGGATCTCACCCGCGGCGGACGGCATATGTTCGGCGCGGAAGGCGAGCTCGAGGAGGAGAACTGTGAGGGCGCGTTTGAGGTAGTGCAGCTGCATCCACCACATTGTACCTTCGTGGAGAATGGTAGATTCTGGTTTGTGAAGGATAAGGCTGAGTGTGGCGCGGGCGGATTCGACGCACTTGGTTGCTGAGCTGAGGTCTTCTCGTCGAGAGTAGCTTGATTGATCTTGGATACGTTTACCAAGCCTGCATAGGCACGGACGGTTGATGATTGTTCGTGCGCTGTGGAAGAGGATGCGAAGAGCCACTCGGCAAGACTCCGTTTCTGGGTCTGAGGATGGACTGGCGACGTCAAAGGGCGGGTTGACGCCGTCTTTCCATTCAAAAAGCCTTCTGTCGAATCTATGTATTCTGCTTTCGATGTTTGCCCATTTCTTTTTTCGAATACCGGGTTGATATAACTCGCCCACAGCTTCATTGGCTAGCATACAAAGCTCCACGTAATGCACGAAATAGATTGCCGCGACCTTCGTGGTGCGCTTTATTGTCATCCTATTCGATGAAGGTCCTGGTCCAGGCTTCCACATGCCCGAACTCGAAGTATGGTGTCTGCTATCCATTGCTGATCTCTGATCGGACGATCCAGAAGGTGCGGTTGTTGTACGCGGCGCCTTACCCTCGGCAAGCTTCCTTGGAACTGTGACACTGCAATCCCGAGGATTGATCATCGCTGGCCGACCAGTCACGAGTGTGAGCATACTCTCTAGTGTCATCAGGGCGAACCAGTTGTAAGCATGAAACTCTTTCGTCTCCTCCGTTACTGAGTCCGAAACGTCCTGCAAGTGCAGACCCAATGCCTGTGCCGACCTTACCGCCAGACCAGAAAGGTTCCAGGCTCTTTGAAACATTAGCATAGCTTGTGACCTGGGGAGCCATGAATTTACCGGTTGAGCTGGTGGGTCACTAATAGATACATCGCGCCCAAGCTAAACACCTGGACCTGGCCAAGGTAGCAATCATCATTCAAAATGCCCGTGTCTACTGCTAGCACGCGTGCTTGTGAGAAGTACAACATGTGGTCTCTCGCATCTCCAGTCCAATCAGCTTGGATGAGATGGGCGTGTACGGCGGCAATGGCAAACACAAGCTGGAGCGTAGCAATAAATGTACGATCTTCGAAGCCTTCGGGATCCATAGTGCTGCAGAGCTGATCGTACTGGTTCATGAAGTCCACTTTGTTGAGAATGGGAAATGACAGGTGCATCGTCGAGAAGTATGCGTTCACGAGAAAATCGGCTGTGGACTTGACCGGCAATGAAAAGGGGTCGATTTGATGTCCAACCACAGCGGTATCAGTATCTTCTGCGTACGGCTGAGGTTTTCGAGAGAAGCCCTGGTTCCAATCTTGAGATGTGAACGTTTTCGCTTCTTGCTTTGGTAGCAATTCCTTATTCAATTTGTCAGTCCACTTGGTTTGGGAGGATTGTCCTGCAAAAGCCTGGACATGATCTACAGAGCTCTGTTGCAGGGAGTCGTCTTGGTTGATATGGCCCGTAGAACCCATTGAACCAACGTCAGAAGCGTCCAGTTCACCTCCATCATCAAGACTGCCGCTTTGGCTTTCACCTGTGATCATCTTTTTGTAGGCGTTTTTGGCGGCCTCGTCGTGCGGTGGCTAGGAACAACGAGTTATTTGAAGTCTTACCTTCGGATTATAGAGTTATACCATGAGTATGGCATCTTGTATCGCCTGTTGATCATCATCATCTACCTGAGGCACGAACTTAAGGAGTAGTTCTTCGTACGCTTTGAGCTTCTGCCAAATCTCGTCATGCTGTCTAACAGTAGATCAAGTCAGCGGAGTCAGGGCGTCAAGTGATAGTCGAAGTACAAAGAGGCCTGCTAGAGCGAGGCTGGTGTGAAGGTGCAGGATTTGAGCAGGAGAAGAGCGTGGATTGCTTGCGTCTAGCCGGTCTCAACGAAAGTGAAAAGCAGAGTAGGCATGGCCACCATAAGAGCATGAACCTCACGCTTACAAGGAAAATGGTGATTCATACCTTCTCCCCTGGTCACGCTTTCCACTCGCATAGTAACATTCTACCCCGAGCTCTCTGCAATGCCGACACGTCGGCTGCTCCCCATAACATTTGATCTTCCTAACTCGACACGATTCGCATGCCTGTCTGACTCGTGGTGAACGTGTCCCTGAGCCGGACGACTGATTCCAGGTTTCTTCATCTCTTTTCAGTCTTTTAATGGCAATCTTTGAGTTTTTTTGCTCAGAAACTGACCGTCCGGTGGGGCTGACGGCTATCTTGCTAGGTTTTGATGCAAAGCTGCTCGCCTGTTTTGGAGACAGCACTGGGCTTTGCATGGTAGTGCTTGACTTCCTTTGCGGGTTCTTGGCAGCTTGAGTGGCCTTGAACTGTGTCAGGTAGCGCTGATATTCCCGGAAATCATGGGTCTTTTGGTACTCGGCCAGTTCCGCTTTGTATCTTTCCCAGGGTATGGCGCCCTTCGTCTTCCATTCTCCTCTCTCGTCTCGTGCGAGTTGTTGCCATTTCTCGCCAACTACTTTCGACAAGTCAGTGAAGGACAAATTTTGCTCTTTCAATTGCTCGCGTGTGTGGTTGGAGAAGAGCACGTATGCGGAGTACGGCCGCTCAGGGACGTTTGGATCCGGCTTGGGATGATGTCTGTAACCCCGTTTCGTGGGTGCGCCACCCTGCTGTACGTCGTTGCTGCTGGATGAGAATCCTCTCCGAGTGTTCGGTGGAAGAGGATCGATTCCGTACAAGGGAGTGACGAATGCCGGGTCCCGAGCGAGTCGTTTGGTGTTGGCAATCTCTCTTTGTAGTTTTCTCCGATGCCCAAGGTCCACATTGAGAATCTGAGCCTGATCAGTGGAGACCCGTGCGGCAGAGTATGTCATATACTGACGTCCAGATCATTCTCCGTGACCTCCAGAACCGTCTCCCAAGAATCGAACCCTGCTTCAATAAAGCGTTCGAGGTAGCGATCCATACCGAGCCATGTTAGGGTGAGCTCAAGGTCCGCCATGGCCAACGAGTTGTCTTAGCTTTGGTAATTGAAGGGATAATGATACAACCGAGCACCGCGGACTATTCGCCAGGATCAAATCATGCGGGAGCTTCTGCTGCAGTGATCAGATTTACCTGGCGTTTTCAGCGACGGCCTGCGCCCCACCTTCTTGGGCGCAGAGGGGAAGTAGATGTGCGGCCAAGAGAAGGTCAAGGCTACTATTTTGTGTAGTAGTCGGACTGCAAAAAGGGAGATGAGTGAGGAAGAGACTGCAGAGTTGAATGATATAGTTGGGAATGGATTGGGGGGGGGAAGGTGAAAGGAAATGCAACATTTTATTTACTCACAGAATCCAAAGTGGAAGAAAGTGCAGCTCTAGGCTAAGGTCGGTCATGGCGGATGAGGATAATCCAGCGTCCTCTCGACCTTGTACAGTAGGAAGCTGCACCGTTTGGCCTGGCGTCTGGCACGTAACGTAAAGTATTGGGGAAGAATGGAGATGGTAATGTACTTTATGTATATTCACACCAAACTGATCATTATTATAATTCTCTCACCATCTCGTGGCACATTCAAAGTATTGTGGGATAAGCTAAGGTAAAGTAGAATAGAATACGGGTAGGTACATTACATGGTAAGCTGTTGATGCATCGATTGTGAACCTTGTCCCTAGTCCCTTGCTAGGTACCGTATGCAAGGAAAGATCGTCATGAAAAGCGGGAGGTGTCTCCGGTCCCAATCACCATCGGTCCTCGGAGATTCCTCCGATATCAAAAGTAGCCCCCCTGTCAAAAGTAACCCCACCCGATTACATACTGAGAGTAAAACCTTGGCTAAACCCTGAAAAAGAGTGAACCCCTCCCAGATGGATAACAACCACGGCAATTTCAATTACCATTTGATTGCTGTCGCTGGGCACTTGACCATACTACCGGTACCACTATAGCCAACGGCTAGATTATCTTCATCAAACTACCAACAGAGACAGTGTACCACCGCTGTGACTTTGATTTACCCCCCAGACAGACTTTGATTAAGTAAGCACGATTCGAGAGCGAGTCGTAGCTACTAGCGCGAATCGGACATGGGATTTTGGAAGTAAAGTAAAGTAATGTATTCATTTCCGGAGACCGAAGTCCGGAAGTTGGGGATGCGATTTCCAAAGTTGATGTAATCATCTCACTTACAAAATCGTGACATATGCCAAGACAGCCCTCGCCTGATGACCTCTGCTTTTATTTCATTTACCTCGCGATTAATTTGGGGGCATTAGAAGATGAGTTCGATGCTCGAAAAAATGATTCATCTAGCATACCTACCAGTCATTGAGGCATTGAGCCTGTATCGTTTCCGTGAAATGGTATGAAGAGATAAAGTAGGTACTCGGGCATAAAGAAGAAGGGAGCGCGTGTCCGTTGCACTGACGACTCCGCTGTTCCACTTCCCAACAGGCTAATATAAGTAAAGTAGCATTGGTGTGTCTCGGCCAACGTCATTTGGGTGAATTTGCCCCCATCTCTTTAAGGGTATCAATGGACTCCCTTGCCCTTTCGCCTTCTCGCATACTCCCCATTCCCATAACAAACATGGCACCGGGTGGATTTAGCAATGCTTGGAGAACTATCACCGGCTCACACCTCCGGTGGTCTTGACCAATAAAAGGTCCACTTTGCTCGCTTAGACCAGGAATCATCCTAATCATACTAGGTAAACCAAATTTAGTCATTGAACAGTTCCGTCCGGTAACAAGGACCGTCGAAGGCATGTTGTCATAAGGCTCATGATAGCGCCTCCTACTGTTAGCGACAACCTGATCAACCCTTACATCTATCCAACAACACAACAGAACTCACCCCATCCACCTTCACCTTAATCGCAGTAGTAAGAACAAAACAGAACGAAGCAGAACAGAACAGAACAGAACAGAACAGAACAGAACAGAACAGAACAGAACAGAACAGAACAGAACAGAACAGAACAGAACAGAACAAAAGAGAACAGAAAAACAGATTCCGGCTTGCGACAAACCGTTGATGGCGCCATGGCTGAAACGACTGAATCAGAGATAAAACGGTCCGATACCACGGCGACTGACAGCTCCGGCCAGTCTATGCAAGATGTCCAGCCATCATCTCCCACAAATACCACAATTTCCTCCAACCCAATCGCCTCGGAACAAGCATCAAGTCAATCCAGACCTGCAACGTCCGCGGGCAGGAGAAGAAAGGTTCCTGATTCAGTCACTCCCAATGCCTGCACGAATTGCAAGAAGGCGAGGGCCAAAGTGAGTTGCTGCTTCCCCATTCTTTCGTCTTTTCATGTGTGGTGGAAAGTCAACATACTAAGCGATCGTCCATAGTGCGACGGCGTCAAGCCTGCCTGTCGACGCTGCGTGCAACGTCACGTCTCAGGATCTTGTCATTACGAGATACATGCCAAGACAGCAAAGGAGCAGATGATTCGAGAAATTCAACGTCTGCAGCGGAAGAATGAACACTTGGAAGAGGAGAAGGATTCATTAGGGGAGAAGAACAGCTGGATCGAGAAAATCATAGCTTCACTCAAAGACGATGGACAGGGTATCGAGATCATTGGCAGAATAAAGCGCGGCGAATCTCATCGAGCGATTGCTGAGTCGCTTGGGCGGCCTCTGGTCGGGTCAGGTACCGAGGCACTGTCTCCCACAGCCGACTTTCAGATCGGTCAAGCCATCGAACAGTATCATCGAAACTTGGTCGAGAATCATGATCCTCGCTATTGGACCAACGTGTCGACGGAAGCGGAACTGATCGAGCACCTGATCAAGTTGTACTTTACCTGGATACATCCCGTTCATATGCTGTTCGACGAGGCGCACTTCATGTCAAGCTTCAAGGACTGTGCAGATGTTTACTGTTCGTCAGCCTTGGTCAACATCATCTGTGCCATGTCCTGTCATCTTCTCCACGACACGGGGAATGACGATGAGCAAACAAAGTCTGGAATCCAATCTCTTCAGACACAGTTCACCAATGAAACAAAATCTCTGATGAAGCATGCGGACTGTGCGAAGATGACCTCGATACAGACTTACGCCATAATGTTCCTCGTTGAACTTGGATCCGGACACGGTCTCATTGCTTCTTCACACCTAAGGTTGGCTGTGGAAAGCTTGACTGCCAAGCAAACATCAGAGCAGTCTTCTGAAGCGGAGGAAGTGGCGGCATGGGGGATTCTGACCTTGCACACGTATGTTGCCAGTCCAAATTGATGTGGTCTGACTCGTGAGGCTTATGGAGGCAGTGCATGGTCAGGTCTGACCTATCAAAAACCCTTCGCTCCTATCTCGACGCGTGCCAACCCTTTTGCGAACATTGCTGTAGACCTACTTGGAGGTAAATGGAATATGCATCAGCAACCTGGCGACAGTAAGCTGGAAACTGGGGAAGAGAACGCCGACGACCGACAGAGCTTCGCAGCATTGACCGCTCGTGAACATGCAAAGCTCTATCGCATCATCCACGAATGCATTCTTGTCTACTGCGGCAATCGTGGTAAGGTTTCGGCCAATCCCGTATTAGATCTTTTCCAGCGGTTCTTTATATGGAAAGATGAACTACCCCCAGTTCTTCAAAGCGTCGAGGGCCAACCGCTTCCTCATGTTCTATACTTACAGTAAGTGTCCCCTCAAAGCATCGTCATTCAAAGCATTGCTTATACGGGATTTTTTGCAGCCTTCAATACCACACTGCTATCATTCAGCTGCTCCTGCCACTCCTGCATCTCGATCACTATCATCAGGAGTCATACGAACAACTCGTACGGTTCGTCGTCGACCATGCAAAAATAGGCGTGCAACTTTTGATCCAATACAAAAACATCTATACCAACTATTACCTCTCGCCACTTCAAATTTTTTGTCTGGTTCACCTGTGCGATGCGGTAGTGCGGTACGACGGTCAAGGTGATACGACCCCTAGAACAGTGGAATTTTGCCTCACCTCCCTCGAAGAAGCCAAGGTCGGCTACCCCGTTGCGGGGCCTCTGCAGAAGATGTTCCGTCTCTCTCTCACTGAATACGGTGTCCCTGTCCCCGACGAGCTCGAGTATATGATGGGCGTATCAGCACGCATGGGGCCCGAGGAGCTGCTGGATGCGTGCACAAGATCGACTTACAAACAGCCGGTCACGCAATTCTTGCCCAACATGGAGGCAGGATTAGGACAAGATTTTATGAATGAGTGGCAGCGTTTGACTGAGGGCACGTCTGCGGGACCGCCGCCTGGAGGAGAGTCTGGCTCTGGATCATCTGGAAGAGGGGAGAGGTTAAAGATTGGCTCGTTGTTGAACATGTGATTGCGTGAAGGTGACGACTTTATGCCTCTATAGCGAAGAAAGCGTGCTTGGATGGCTTGTGTGAAGGATGGGTTGTGAAAAGGACGGCAGGAGCAAGGTGCTTATGATGATCCGACTTAATGTACAGCTCTATTCGCTGTCCTACTCTTCTCATAGATCCACAAGGCCCACGCTTTGGATTTCGGCTTGATCTGCAATACCACTTCAGTTTCCAAGCCCGCATTAGCCAGGGTGTCAATCTCTCGGTTTTCTGTCATTATGGGGGAAATCCCAGACAGTTTCCATAGCGGACTCAGTGCGATGGGTGGGAGCTGGTGCGCAAGTGCTCATAGACGCTGGTAGATCATAAAAGGTAAATTACCTCGGACTATCAAATGTAATAGGTTTGGGAAGGGGGGGATACGTCTTTTATATGAAGCTCTTCCTGATTAATCATTAGTTTATTACGTCGGAAATCACGGCAGTGATATTAATTACACGTGTAAGGAAATTCAGGGTGGCGTGCTGTTTACCTTTTACTTCTTCCATCTCGTCAGAAGTCGTGAGTCGAGAGTGGCGCTCACAGACGACGCCCCGTCTGTGGAGATGTAGGTGAGAAAGAAAGATCGAGGAAGGTGTGCCGACACGCCCAAGCATCCGAGGATCGGCACTGGTGGCACCAACTATTCTGTGACCGTACACCGGTACCTACTACTCTCTGCACTGTACTGTTCTAGCCTAAAACCGCCATGGCAATCGTCGGCTTCATATTCAGTTAGAAGCTTCTTATCACCATCAAAATCCACTCGGAATTTACTCCCATCACTACTCCTACTCTGTGATTGAGCAATTGGACACACCGAGCTGCAGATATGATCATTGCGATCAGATGCTAAGGATCAACAGCAGATGAGCAAAGTCCGTGCATCACCGTCCGCCAACGCCTTACCATACAAGTACGTCTCTCCACTCATCCAGCCTTTCTGACCGGAATACCAGCCAGTACAAACCGATTATTGACATACTCTGCCAAACAGAAATCCTCATGCAAAGCCCACATCGCCTCTCCTGTCCGCCACGCCCCGCCGCAAAGGCATATATATAGCTAGCAGCATAGCAGTCTACGCCTTCACAGCATATGGCTTCTCCCTCTACACCACCCTTTTGGCAGAACCAGATCACCCACTTCCGTTCCAAGACACAGACGTTACGGATCGCTACCACACTACAGCCAAACACTTCGACGCTGATGTCTCCTCTACAGAGAACATTTGGGGCATTACGAATCTTCGACGTCGTCTTGCTGAACAAGCCAAGGGAGATGTGCTGGAGGTAAGCGTGGGCACGGGCAGGAATGGAGTGTATTATGATCTGGAGAAGATAAAGAGTTTGGCTTTTGTCGATCAGAGTGGAGCCATGGTGGAGATTGCGAGGAAGAAATGGAATTCTCTCCATCCCGGATATGAGCGTTGTTCATTCCATACTCAATCAGCCATGGACCCGCTGTCTGCTTCCGCAATGCCGAAGGCAGGTTTTTCGACGATTGTGCAGACTATGGGCAGTTGCTCTACACCTACACCTGCTGCTACGCTGGCGCATTTGGGGAATTTGGCCGATCCGAACGATGGGAAGCTTCTGCTGTTGGAGCATGGAAGGAGTTATTATGATTGGATAAACTGGATACTAGACAAGGCTGCCGCTAGGCATGCAGATAAGCATGGGTGCTGGTTCAACAGAGATGTGGGAAGGATACTGGAGGAGAGCGGACTGGTGATCGAAAAGGTGGAGAGGAGTCATTTTGGGACACTTTGGTTTGTGGAAGCGAGGCCAGGTGTAAGAGGTGGAGGAAAGTTGGTGGCAAGGAAAGAAGAGACAATGGAGGAAAGGGAGGAAAAAGGAGGACAATAGCAATGGTTCCGCGGCAGGGGATGAGCAGACCGTGGTTCTGTAGAGGGAGAAAGGGGACAAGATCAAGGTTGGAAAAAGTGTGTAACGCAATGATATTCGATACGAACGTTCTGCATCCACTCCGAGGGTTTTCTCCAGACTTTGCAAAACCTATTGCTCAACATCTCTGGGATCTGGATAGGTGTGTCTATAAGTTCCAGATGCCAGCGCTGAGCAGCCTCAAGAAATGCCGAAGTCCTGTCGTACCCACCAGACAGTCGAGGCTGTCCTCTAAACCGTTACGCAAGATATGCACACTGAGACGAACAGCGCAGACACTGGGAAGCCGAGACTAAGAGGCTGTTGCAAAGACGTCAAGCTCGCACAATCCAAGTTGATGGTCTCATCGCATCGCCCTCCGTAGAAACACTGATGCACTAGTGTGCATGCTTATATCAGTCCTATAGACAGTGTTTATGAAGTCTTAGTTGTGATGAATAATGTTGTGAAATCACATCTGCATTCAAAATCTCGATGCTAAAATTCCCAATCTTAAAATCTGATCAACGAACACCTACTACAACCCTAGCCATGTCTTCTCGTGAACAACAGAATATCGCTCGGCGCTCCAGAAGCCCCCATAACCGCCGTCATCATAAGCGCTCTCGATCTCCCAACTCTCATCTTTACCACCACGTCTCCCACAAGCACAAACAGTCGAAGCCTTCTGCGCCGGTGCACCTCCCATTACAAGCTTCAAAGCTGCACAAACATGACTTTGAAACCGTCAAGCCGATGTTTGAGTTGTACCTGGACATCCAGAAGCAGAAGGTGCTGGAGGCCTTACCAGATGACGAGGTAAAGGGCCGGTGGAAGAGCTTTGTAGGCAAATGGTATATCTCTACCCGTTGCATATGACCCGATTCTACGAGATTGCGAGATACAAGGAGCTGACTTTTGTGAGGAATCGTGCTGAATTAGCCGAAGGTTGGTATGATCCAGCGACTCTTCAGAAAGCACAAGCATCTGCTGCGTCGAACGCTGTCAATACCGAAAGACAAAACCAGCCGCGAGACTCGCCGAGCTATGGTTCTCCGAGGAGGGCAGAAGAAAGCAGTGATGAGGACGTTGTTGGCCCCACGATGCCTGGTGGTGAAACACAAGTCTACAAGAGTGGCAGGAGACCTGGGCCCGTAATACCCAACCCACAAGATCTAGAACTACGAAGAGGTACGGCTCCTGGGAGCATGCCCTACTTCAATTCAAAACACTGACAGTTTCGCCTCCCCTACAGAGCTCGAGCAAGAAGACTCCCTCGCCCACCGCCAAGATCTCCGTGAGCATCGACATCTCGACCGCAGACAGCAAAGAGAACGCCTTGATGAACTCGTTCCCCGCGCCGAAGCCGGTAGCAAAGACCGCATTCTGGAGAAGAAGCGCGAGAAAGCGGACTCGAACAGTGCTTTTGCTTCCGCTAAGATGGAAGCTGGAGGCGTGGAAGAAGTGCCTGAGTCAGATTTGCTTGGGGATGAAGATGGGGGACCCGAGGGGTTCAAGAAGCAGAAAAAAGAGATGGATAGGAAGAAGAACGAGAGGGAGGTGCGGAGAGAGGAGATTTTGAGGGCTAGGATGGTGGAGTTGGAAGAGAGAAGGAGGGAATATCGGGCTAAAGAGGAGAAGACGATGAGCGGGCTGGTTGCATTGGCGAAGGCAAGATTTGGATGACGCTCTAAACTTGGGAAGGCAGGGAGGATATCAAGCTGCACAAGGCGGTTCTTCTCGTGGGTGCATGGCTATTTATCGTGAACGCTTGTAGTTGTCATCCACAGCTCCATTACATATGTCTATGCTCGAGGCTAGTCTGCTCGAGGCTCAAAACCATTGGCTCTCGCGTGGTTGACGCTGCTTGCATGATCTCAAGGCTGTGCGTTGGTTGCAACAGCCTTCTCCAGGACCTCCAACATTAGGTACGTCCTCTCTCGTCTATCCGCTACTCGTATGCGACACCCCAGCCTTTGCCTCGCTTCTGTCGTCCTCGGCGTTAAAAAGGCAGTTTGACCTAGTCGACGATTATCTCCCATACGCATTACTTTCGTAAAGACTGTAGCACTATCTCTTTCACATGCATGCGGTATCACCACAAAGCATCCTCGGCCTCGTGCGAAGGATGAAAGAGGAAGAATGCTTTGCGCGAGTTGCCGGTGGATGCCAAGCCGAAAAATGGCGCTTAAAGCAGCAAGGTTTTAGTATTAGCATGAAACGATTCTCGCGCGATAGGCCGCAAACGGAGCTCATTCATTGGCTTGCTTCGCCCCTTTTTTCTTTTCAGGGTCCGCCCATGTCGGTGGGTCTGCAGGGATGAAGGGGCGTTAAATGGATAATTCACAAAGCAGCAAGTGGCAGCCTGGCTCCCGCGGGCATGAGTATAAAGACACGGTGATTCCCACCCTCAAATTTTAGAAAAGTTCTCGCTTACTGGCCTTTAAGAGTTGTCGTCGTTGACGTCCTTTCCCCAACGTCAACTCCGCATAACCTCCGCCTCCACCTCCGCCTTCATCTCCCATCTCTCATCATCTCCACCATCAATATCATCACATTAGATAGAAGATACCCGTTTCGCAGTTTCTAATTTAATACACTTGAAAAGGCACTTCTCACGTGCTCTTTCCCCCCACTCTCAGACGAGACTTTGCCCCTCCTTCCGATTTGAATTAGCGACTTTCTACCTTACCTCTAACCTCAAATCACATCCACCTCCTCAATCACAGATCTACCTCGTCCAATCGGCAACTCATCAACACTCACTTTTCCAATCCGGTTGACCTGAGTCACACATGCGACAGTGTTGAAGGGCAGGGAGTGTCAAGTCGAGCACCGGCTGTAGGGGAAACATTTGCTTGTTCATCTCCCGCATACGGTACGAATTCTCACAATCACACTCAACTTCCTCGACATAGGCGACCTCTCCCACCGTCGCACCATCCTTCGCCCCTCTCGCTCGAACCTCGATCTAGGATCTTTCAATCTTTCTTTCGAAGGAACCCGTTCACTCTGACCTCACGCGACACAGACTGCCGACTCTACTACGCTCACTTGCCGTCACCGACCTTGCCTTCCGACACCACCTCATCGCAGGTCACTCGATCGCAGGAATGGAAACCCTCACTACACACCCGTCCACCGCACAGCAGGCTACGGCCTTCACCTCACCTGCCTCCTTGTCTTTCCCAGGCGGAGCTGGAGAGCTGACGCCACCCTCTGAAAAAGATGGGAATTCCCAGGCGAACGGCACGAGCGGTTCATACCAAGGTGGTCAGCAGCAACAGAAAGGAGCGGATGCCTCATCCAACGGCAACGGGGTGACTCCCACAACTCCTGCTGCGACCCCTGGTGCTGGACAAGGTGTTAGTGGATTAGGTACGCTCCTCGTCTCGTAGACTATACTGAGCACCAATAACTGACCTTATCGCAGTACCTACCTTGCAGTGAGTATAAGTCTTGTTATGCCTCTTGTTGATCTCGAGGCTTAATGGCATGTTTGAAGAAATATCGTTGCCACGGTCAACCTTGATTGCCGTCTCGATCTGAAGACCATTGCGCTTCACGCGAGGAATGCCGAGTACAACCCTAAGCGTTTCGCCGCTGTCATCATGCGTATCCGCGAGCCTAAAACTACCGCATTGATCTTTGCTTCCGGCAAGATGGTAGTTACTGGTGCCAAATCCGAGGACGGTGGGTATTTCCAGTGCCATGTCGTACGCTTCCTGCTTACTGACGGCTTTCCCCCCAAGACTCTCGCTTGGCGTCGCGCAAATACGCACGAATCATCCAGAAGCTCGGTTTTAACGCTAAGTTCACGGATTTCAAGATCCAGAACATCGTTGGCTCTTGCGATATCAAGTTCCCAATTCGTCTTGAAGGCCTTGCGTCTCGTCACCACCATTTCAGCTCGTACGAGCCTGAACTCTTCCCTGGTCTCGTAAGTCTCTTTGAGAGTTTTTCGTTCTTGATTGCTTCCCTGTCACGGCGCAAATGCTTACTCTGCATCTCTACAGATCTATCGTATGATCAAGCCGAAGATTGTGCTCCTCATCTTTGTCAGCGGCAAGATCGTCTTGACTGGTGCGAAAGTGCGAGAGGAGATTTACCAGGCGTTCGAAATGATCTACCCTGTACTGAATGGTATGCATTGAATTCTATTCCATGGATAATCCAAGCTGACAACCCTAGATTTTCGCAAGGTCTAATCCAACTGCCTCGGAAACATCCGCCTCTGTGGTCGATCATCCTGTACTACCACGCCCTACAACCCAAGTCCGCCTGTACATTACACCTTCTTCCATTTTCCCTCCTGCTTCGGCTTCACAACTATCTGCTTCAACACCGTTGATTGCATGCACGAGCTCACCTGCACACCGGCTGCTCGCTGCACTGCTCTCTACAACCCCTTTCACAACCACAAATGCATACAAAAATGGAGTTCGGTCACGAGGTTTCGGAGAGTCTTCAATCAGCGAGCGTTGCATATTTTTTATCCGAACATACATTATTAGAAAGTCGCACGGCGGTTCTGTGCGCTGGTCGGTGGATACCGCCGGGGTGCGATCTGCGAGAAAGAACAGAAGTTCGTTTTCCAGTTGCTCAGAGAGACCGAGATACCAGATTGAGAGGCCTGAGTGGAGGAGCGGATGATCTTTTGATCGTCGTGCTGGAGAGTCTTATCATTACGAGTCAGCTTGCACAAGTGCTTGCCAAGTTCTTAGTCTAGCTTCGGCAGGCAGTCTATGATCTAGGTGCGCCGATGATCAGATACAAATTTGATAGAATGGAATACAAAATCTATTCCACCAATTGTCGGTGCATATGATCCATCAGCACATCTCATGATGATCATGTGCGCATCTTTGTCCTTCCTCCCTTTCCAATCCCCAGACATGTGTGACTCTATGAACTCAAACCCCGTTTCTCTTCCCTTTCATCTCCTCTCCCTCCATCCATTCCTTCTTTATTCCATAGCATGGCCACTTCTCCCTCCACAACCCATGATTCTGCTCCATTAGACTCCATTCTTATCATCGGGGCAGGCGTCTTTGGACGTAAGTATCAGAACATATTTGGAATTCCCCTTCCCTGTCGCATTTCCAGCTGACTTCTCATAGTATCAACGACCCTCTCCCTGCTCGCCTCCGGCTACGCCCACACCACAATCACCCTCCTAGATCCCTATCTCCCCACGTCCGACACCCTACCCCCATCCCCATCCCCATCCCCATCCCCATCCCCATCCCCGTCCCCATCCCCGTCCCCATCCCCGTCCCCATCCGCCCCACCACAAAACCCACACGCCGCCTCCATCGATTCCTCCCGCATCATCCGCCCCGATTACGCTCTGCCACCGTACGCAAAGCTCGCCTCGCGGGCCCAGAGCGAATGGAGGAGAGGATACGGCGGAGAGGGGGTGTATAGGGAGAGTGGTGTTATACTGTCGGCGGAGAAGGGGGGGAGCGAGTATGTGGGCAGCGCGATGGGCAATGCGGAGGTTCTGGGCTACAGGGTTGAGGGGTTGGGGAGCAAGGAGAGTGTGCGGAGGGTGTTGGGGACGGGCGGGGAAGGTGGGGAGAGCGGGTATGTGAATTGGGGGAGCGGATGGGCTGACGCTGGGAGAGCTATGGATCGGTGTATGAGAATGGTGATGGAGGGGGCGAGGGAGAGGATGGGGACGGAGGGGAGGGGAACGGGACGGGTGGTGTTCAAGAGGGGGAGGGCGAGGAGGTTGATCTTTCGAGATGGCGAGGGAGAGGGGAAGAGGAGGGTCGTTGGCGCTACATTGGACGACGGCTTCGAAGTCCTCGCGGACCTGACCATCGTCGCCGCCGGCGCCTGGAGCGGTGCCCTGGTCGATCTTCGCGGAAGGGCGGAAGCCCGAGGGCAAGTCCTGGCTTACATCTCCCTAACCGATGAAGAGAGGGAAAGACTGGAGGACATGCCTGTCGTTCTGAACCTCAGCACAGGCATGTTTGCAATCCCGCCTATAGACAACGTGTCTGCCCCACCGCCCGGTCAGGAGACGAGGCCGAGAGATTGGGTGCTCAAGGTTGCGAGACATGCTTTTGGATATGCGAATCCGACGGTGGTGGCGCCTGAGGGGGACGATATCGTCATCAGCTTGCCCGCAACGACGTTTTCTCCCATACCAGCAGAAGGAGAGGAAGCATGCCGTTCCTTTTTGCAGAAGACGATCCCCTGGCTCGGCGACCGCCCCTTCAGCAGCACGAGGATATGCTGGTACACGGATACTCCGACTGGTGATTTTCTGATCGATTACCATCCGGAATACGAGGGGCTTTTCCTTGCTACGGGTGGTAGTGGACATGGGTTCAAGTTTTTACCTGTGCTGGGGGATAAGATCGTCGCTGCGGTTCAGGGAGCTTTGGAGGACGAGTTGGCGGGGCTGTGGAGGTGGCCGAGGGAGAAAGTGCTGCCGTTCAGGGGGTGTGAGGATGGGAGTCGGATGGGCGATAGGGAGATGATTCTGGATGAGGAATGGGCGAAGGGGAAGAGGAAGGGTGAGAGGGTGAGGAGTAGTAGGCTATGATGGCCTTGAGGGGCCGATCATTGAGACTTCCGCCTGCAGGTCCACCACACCATCGATCTTGCCTGACGGCTTGACGGCGTGCATGCGGGCATGACGGACCGAGAGCTGAGTAATTCTCAAGCCAGCGCGTGTGTCCTGAGTATACTGATGGGCCTTGAGATCTGGTATTCGGTTTTTTCGGGACGGACGAGTGATTAGTATGGCGAGCCTGTGTTCCTTCCTCTGGCACAGCGTTTGGAACGAAAGTGCAGCCACATATAAGACGCAAGAGCGATTCAAAACCGAGTGCTAAATCCCGACTCAAAGGCCCGTCAATGGTCTCAATTTTTAGGCCAGTGCGCTCAATCGAGTACATCTTCCGTCAGGTCCGATGACATCTCACAGGACTCGAGGTCGAAACGTACGTTTCAAAGATATCATTCACGCAAAGCCGAGTCACTTGTCGACTAGCTAATTCCATGACTCATTACTTTGTGCTGATCATCTACTTACGGAGTTGTGATCTCTTTGGGACGACTTGTTGACGAACGCTAAAGTTGGCCGGACCGTATGACTCAAACGTACTGCATTCGTCTCCTGATCTATCCGGCAGGTGGAGCAATCACCCAACCCTTGACTCCCTACGGGCTACGACGACCCAGAATTCCCCACCGTCGTCGTCTCCCCGAGCCACGGCTCGACCAGATGTTTCCTCAGGCCGGGTTGGTAGAGAGACAGGTCGACTTCGGAAACGTCAGCTCGTGCTTTGCCGTCACTCTGCCGTTCAAGCAACAAGACGTCTCTCGGAATCTTTTCGAACACGCTATCGATCAGGCTCGGAGGCGATGGGCTTGGTTTACGAAATCTCGAGAGCTGGACGCCGGAAGGGGCACTGAGTTTGGGACTCTGGGGTACCTTCTGGGGGAGATACGCTAGCAGATTTTCAAGGTGGTACTCGGGTGGTTCACGTCGTTGTCCTTACCTGACCTAACCGCTGCCGATACCAACCCCTCTCCGGCTGGTGCGGCTATCGTTACCAACGTTGGGACTTGAGTTCGACCACTTCTTCCTATTCAACACTATTCTCAAATTCGAAAGCTCCGAGGGACTCCAAGATTTCCTTTTAACAGTCGTCAAACTTTCACCTAACAAAGGTACGGCGCATCGTCGTCAGCATTTGGGTTCTTTGCGGCTGTCGTTCTCGTCGTCTGCTCATAGACTGGAGGAATGGCTGGAAGACGACGTGCTTGCAGTTACCGGCGTCGCTGCAACATGTCAGCTTTGAGTTGGACTACAATCGACCTGAAACTCGTGCGAGAAGCTGCAGACGACGGGGCGACACAAGGCTATTGAAGGACATCAAGGCGGCAGCAACTCTTGTTGAGGTCTTGAGCAAAGGGATAATGAGGAGTGCTCCGGGGGCATTGGTGGAGATGAGTGAGAATGACAGGAAAAGGTTGCTTCCAAAACATATTGAACTCTTCGATGCTGCGGTGAATGACGTTGAGAGATGACTGGGGAAGTTTGACGAGAATACTGTTGCTCATAATGACAGGTTGAAGAAGGAGGAATCTGGAGATGGCTTGCTCAACAAAGGGAACCGCCAAAGCATGGCACGCGGTGGCAGCGTTAGCGATCACCGCCCTGCACGTTGAACGGAGGTATTCATGCTCCAGTTGCAAGCATATAATCAGCAAGAAATAACTGACTGCAAGTGCCCTTCTCCATAAGACGTGAGCAGGCAAGAAAGAGTGCGACCCTCGGAGCCTTCAGCTTGAGCTCTTTTCGTACACTTTCGTCAGCAATTTGACAGTCAAGCTCTTTTGGAGTGCCTTGGGTACGCTAGAAATTGTGTTTAGTATCATTAGAATACCGATCAACTGTGCTGTCACAATTGCAGAAAGCCAGCGATATACACAGCAAGTTTCTCAGCTTTCGCGAAACCCTTTGGTCTTTTGCCGACGATGTCCCCCTTTAGCTTTAGTCAAGGCATGGTTTAAGACATCGAAATCTTGCTGGAATAAGTCTCTCCCTGCGTCCTGGTGCTTAGTATCAATCCCACCAGGAGAACAGCGTCTGATGTCGTTGCACATTTCTTTGGTAAAATCCCAGCCCAATTTTAGAGGTCCTGCGGAAGCCATGAATGCTACTGTTTAGTGAGAGGTAACCCGTCCACTTGTTAGAGATGGAGAAACCAGTATCTAAGTACCTACTTTATGCAACCGCACGAATTTACCCTTCGCCTCGCACCCTTAGGCACGAGCGCCGATGCGCCCTTGCAGCGTCGCACGCCAAGCTGGCGCTTAGTAAGCAGATCTCAAAATAGTGAGCGGCTATCCTCGCAAGATCAATCGTTGTTGATATCATGACCGACTATTCTTCCAATTCATTCGCCAATGCATTACTTCCTCTGCGCGCATACCCTGTATAAATAGCTATCTATTTCTGCGCAATGGCACCCAATGAACCCGAGAGTCCAAGCAAGAAGAGAAAGCAGCCTGTTAATGGAGTGAAACGCGATCAGCCTTTGTTCGCTCAACGCAGACCCAATCGTTCATTGCAACAGCCGCCCGACTTTCTCACGGACAGTCTCAACACTTCATACATCCCTAGTCCTAGCCCACCGAAAAGCCCAACACGTCAAGATGTGCGCGCAAGGCCTAGACAGACGTTAATTAATTCGAGGTCACTAGCAGCTGCTTTCAAAGCTACACCAAGGGTCAATGACGAGAACAGACCACCCTCTTCCTCTTCCTCTGATCACAAGCGCTCTTTTCAGGCACTGAATCCACGCCCAACGCAGAACGTATCTGGCCCAAATCAAAAGTCATCCAGCAAGCCAGCGCAAAGTCCTGTACGCGCGCGAACACCCAGTCCGTTGAGAGGACGGGCCCTTTCAGTCACATCGCCTGCTGCCTCTGAGTCGTCTCCACCTCGTGGGTACGCTGAGGCCTACCAGCGCATTGTTGAAGAGGAGAACCTGGCACAGGAAGAATCAGTAGAGGACATGGAGGACATCACCGGATATGATTTCAATGAGCAAGATAGATCGCAAGATCTTGATCGTATGCGACTGCAGAGGATACAACACTCTGCATCTCCTGTATCTTTGAGGGCTTCTCGAAGAGCTTCACCAGGAGGCGCTCTCAGAGGGGGCGCACAAGCTGAGGTTGACGACAAGGAGAACATCGGGCATGACTCAGATGGTGAATCAAGCGCATCCTACATGGAGAACGTCACGGACACATCTATGGATAGCGGGTCGTCTCAGTACGCCAAAGATCTACAGAGGGTCCAAGGTGCATTGAACAGTGGAAAGAAGGCGTTCAGCAAAGCGAGGGTTGGAGATAGAGTCGGACTTACTATAGACAATCTGCAGCGCAAAGGAAGCAACGATTCTCTGGGAAGCGCGTTCAGTGCCGGGAGTCTGAGCAACAGAGGCTCTGACCCATCCGTCAACGTGCCCAAGGCCTGGGGAAGGAAAGCAAAGCCGGGGAAGGATTGGCTCAGCCGAATCAACAGCAGAAGTGGCAAGCTTACTGGTGATGTGCCCAAGCGTCATTCCTCTGGAGATCAAATTATCGCAGAGAATCAAAAACGTGAATGGGCGGAACCAATTGACGAGTGGATCTCAACCGCAGCTGAGGTCCCTTTACCCTCTGTGGAGGGTTCTTCGCAGACAGCCTTATCGTCTCAAGGCTCGACACCTACGACAGCAGTCCAGCGGAGTACCTCTTTGGACCGAAGAAGGCAGTGGGAGGTCAATGATGATGAATTTACTGGACGATCCTTTCAGGTGTCTGATAGTCCACCAATTCGGATTCGAAGTGTTGCTCTTGATCGCATCCGAGAGCGAGAAATAGAGAGCGTCGAGAAGAGAGCGGTAACAACGAGCAGACTGGGCGAATTGCGCAAGATGTCGTCCGCAGAAAGCCCGCGAAGAAGGATAGGGTTTGAAGTGATTCAGGGAGATGACAGTCGTGGTTTGAGTGAAGGTTCTCCACAAAGACATGCATCTGGCAAGTCCACTCTAGAGTCAGAGCAGCTGGATCCAGACGAAGACAACACTCCAGACCTTACCCCAGATGACACAGGAGAAGCTATTCCGGATACCCCTATTGTGATTTACAGAGCAAATTCCAATGGCATTGTCTCTTCGAGTGAGAAAACTGCCAAGCAGCCCGAATCAAAAACGCAGTCGTCTCGCCAACCCAGCCATGAGCGGAAGGACTCCCATGATCTTCTCAAACGGCTTGCTAAGGCGACGAGTGAAAGTCCCAGTCCCGCAAAACAGTCCAACGAGCCAGGCCAATCACCAAATCAAGAGGGCCAAGATCAAGTCCAGCAGACACCGCAGAATCACAGACCTACTAGCGACCTCAAGACACCGGTCATAACAGGTGCGTGGGTGGATCAGACCATGGACGACACGCCTCGGGTTTCGAGGGTAGATATCAATTTAAAAACGCCTCTAGTAACTGGTGCTTGGATCGACACCCCTCTACCTACTGGCGGTCGAGGCCCTCCAATGCCAACGCCATCTGACGCACAGGACGAGAAAGAACTGGGTAACGGCAAACTCGGTGCTGCAGAGCTGATACACAAACTCAGTCCCAATACTATATCTGCGCGCCCAAAATTGCAGAATCAGGCTCCTCTCAAGTACTCAGGACCTCCTTTGGCTAAATCTGCACTACAAGAAATCATCAACGACGCTCGAGCTCCAAACCGAGAAAGACAACCCAAGAAAACCTCTTCAGATTCCGAATCCGAAGAAGATCCCACCCTCCACCTCGGCGAATCCACTATCCAATCCCTCGAGGAATTAATCGCCAACGATGAAGACTTCTCCACCCTCCTCGCCCCCACGCCACCATCTCCCGAAACCGCACCGTCATCCTCCGAACCATCCCCTTCCTCCCAAGCTGTCACCACGACGTCCAAATCCTCACGTCTCTCCGACCTCCAATCATACACCCACCTCCTCTCCCGCCTCACAAACCTCGCCCCCTCCCTTCGCG